CCGGAATTTTGAGTAAAACCTTGGTGGTACCAGTATAGGTATCAAGAAATTAGGAAAATCTCTAAGCAAAAGTAATGCACGTTCAACGGCAACGGCGGTTTAAATGAGTACAAAAACTTAGGAGCTAAAATTATTTCGTCAGTTCAGTCGGCAAAGATGACGTGATTTGCTTAGATATCTACTGATTCAACGATATCGTGTAGTAAGTAGCAAACACAGGTACAGTTCTATTTTCACCGATGACACAGACAGATGACGACAAATCTTCTTGAGTAGGTACTTAAAACCGACACTGGTAGATTTTCAATTGTATGTCAATACACAGCAGGTAGGGTAGGGTAACTAAACTTTACTTTTGAAATAGTTTGTCTTGGAGAACTATGTGACCTCTCCCTTTAACATAAGTATATGTCAGGATTTCTTACAGTTTTCAGCTGGGGTAGCGAGGCAAGTCGCAAGCGCAATAAGACACAGCGGCCTCGGCCAAGAGCAATAGCAGGAACGAGGGTGTTTTTAGTCAATAAGAGTCTGACACTCCCTCTCGCCCCTCCATGGACGGGAGAAGGAATTTGATGATTTTCCCCTCGCAAAAAAGGTTTTCTTACAGTGCATCAACACATTTTTTGGCGGGAAATAGAAGATAACGTCAAAGTTCATTCAGCTCCATTAAAAAAAACTCCAAAAAAAGCATTTCAAAAAGCATTTCCATTGTTGATTTTTTTTTTGACCTAGAAGTAGAACCGAGATACATCGTTCAGTAATCGCGATCGAGGTGAAATATTGAAAACGGGCACGAAAAACATTGATGCTTTTTTCTGTTTATAAAATACGGTTTAGTATTTAATGAGTCTAGTGCATATAGAAATCCGTTCGGATTAGTTACACATTTTCTCACTGTTTTATTCCATTGTGGTACAATGATTGTCAAGAGTGCACCAGTTTAAGTAATTGTACTTATGTGACGCAAGTTATTGCATGCAACACATGAAGCTTCTATCTGAATACATAATGTAAGTATGTAGGGTATATAATTACGAAAATGAGTAAGTGTACCTAACACCTATTGGACATATCTGTAGCATCAGTAGGTTAATAACATTTGATGTAGTGTTTTGGAAATCCCATGCACATGGCGGTGTGCCCTGCCTGGGTGGAGCACCGTCGTATCCTCAGGAAAGTAATCGGTGGCGGCGACATCTCGAGGCTAGGCCATGGTGCGCAGCGAGAGGAACTGGGGTAGCTCGCCGCCGCCCGACCAGAACCAGACCCGAGCGTACGGCGTGGTGCCCATGTGTAAACTATAATTAGTAGACTAACCTCTCTGTAGTCCAGTTATCTTAGTCAAATTAAGGTAAGAATCTAGGAATTTGAGATACCAAAATGTACGTTTGTATAAAGATTTATTTGGACATCCAACAAGTTGCCTCACAACCTAAACCTACATAGTGAAAGGTGTCCGCATCTGACAAAAATTAAGGTCAAAGCTCACAAAAATCTCGTTCGCTATTGAACCGAAATCATACAAGCCGTAACGAAATCATACAAGCCGAACCGAATTCATACGAGCCGAAATGAAATCACACAAAATCTCATAAGAGTCAAACCGAAATCATACGAGACGAACCGAAATCATGCGAGACGAACCGAACTCATACGATACGAACCGAGCTCATACGAGAATATATATTTCTCAACACTCTCTCTCTCTCTCTCATCTTTTAAGTATTACTTAACTGTGGTTTTAGCGTTTTTGATCGGGCCTTCCGGATGACCTTCAATGGTACTCTAAAATTCTAAATACTTAGATAAACACTACGTACTTACTGCCCTCTTTCTCAAAAACGATTCGAGGTACTTAGAAAAATCTTTGAAAAAAAAGTTTGACGGAATTTTATTCTATGTTCATCAATTCATCATAAACACAAATCACGCAAACCCCATACGGAACAATGTATTTGTAGAAAATGTAAAAAGAAAACGATTTTTGTGACCTTTTTGATTTAGATGCCAGATACCTTACAGTTTTAGGTTTTGAGGCAAGTTTTAGGATGTCCAAATATTGGTATCTCAAATTCCAAGGTGCAATTACCTACTAAGATGACTACTGGTAAGAATGTGAGCGTAGTGGTAGTGAACGAAGGTTGGAAGTGAATATGCCATCTGTTATGTATTTTATACATCAAAGAAAAATACGCAATCGTTAAAAATGACCATGCGTTTTGTTGATAGTAAACTTCTGAATAAAATCACGATCGAAGATTATCAAGGTTTACGTAACCGTAATAGATATTATGTTATGATCTCTAGCATTGAATCTTACAAAGCCATCTACTGCCAAGGTGCGCACCGTTCACCAAAGTACGTAGTATAAATTAGTACGTATATTTGGCCAATTTTCGAAAAACCGACGTCGCTTAGGGACTTAAGCTGTGAGCACGGAACCAGCTGACGTGGCTATGTGAACCATAAAATTGTTCTTATGAGTTTGGATATGATTTCTATGAGAATTTGTGTCAGTAAACGTATCCAGTAGTTAGGTAGGTACTCGTAAGAGAATCATGTCATCATCTCATGACGGTAGACCCGAATCAATTACATAAAGTTGTTCCTTACGGGAATCGAATACACTATACGTTGCGCAGCATTTGGCTGCCTAGCCATTTTGCTAGCCAATCAAATAATACTGGGCGATGTCCTGAAAAACGATCAAACGATCTAAATTTTATGAATTGTTCCACCATTTTTGCTTTGTGTCGGGCGATCAGAGAGCACCTGGCTATCTGCAACAATAAACTTTTGATAAAACAATGTCAAAAATGTTTTAACCTAAAAAGGAGGACGAGTTCGTACTATAGGTAAGAAAGCAAACCTGTTACCTGCCTTACTCAATAAAGGTACGTAGCCGAGGTTGCAGGGCAAGCGCAATCAAACACCGCGGCATAGGCCTAGAGCAGGAGAAGGACCGGGGGGTTTTTAGTCAGTAAGAGTCTGACATTCCCTCTCACTTCATCCTGGCCAGAAGTCATTTGATGATTTTCCTTTCACTCAATGTATAGGTAGGACTCATGTTGGTACCTACCACCTACTTACATCAACAGTCGAGAGTATACCTATTTTAAAATAAAAAAAATACAAATGGATCGCATAGGGGCAATAAGTGTGGGTCGGCACGACCGATCGAGTGAGGTTACCGGAGGCACAATCCCTCTACCTCCCACCATCCCTTCTAACTCCTTATCTAAATATCCGTAACTTTTATCCCTAAAAGGACGGCAACGCATTTGTTACTCCTTCGGGCGATGCGCAAGTGACCGTGGGCAGCGCTGATTGCTTACCATTAGAAATTCCGTTGGCTCGTTTGCCGACATATAACCATAAAAAAACGTGTTTGAGACTGATAAATACAAGAAATTATAAATTATGTACCTAGCTTATTTAGGTAATTGCCTATAACATCATCGCATCAAATTAATTGTATATATTAATATGGACATTCCTCCGGAATTGGTGGATTATTAAAAAAACCGGAACTTAAGTAGGAATTTTATTCTGCAAGAGTGCAAGGAGTCATTTGATGATTTGCCATGCTCAAATAAAGATAGGAATTGTAATAAAATGAGCAATAGAATTTTTACGTTTCAGAGTCGTGGTGCATCCTTAGAACAGTCTCACGACCCCAGCAGGCATTGGCCCTCTATGGAATGGGGCCCCGTCATTTATTCTACCCTTAATGCAAATTACCATGACCACTATGAAAATATTTAAATTTAAGTGCAACAATTTATTTCTATCTATAAAAGTTTAAATAAATTTTGAATTGAGTAGGAATAATATCACCAACATTAACAATATTTAATTGAATCCGGAAATACCGAAATTACATTTCATTAAGGCTTAAATCCATGTTATTCTTCCTGTGTGCATTTATGATACAAGTACCAAAAATTATCTACCCCGATCACTCATCATAAGAAAACAGATAATAATTAGGTATGTACATTGTTTCTATTTCGTAGGTATACTTTAATTTCGTTTTCATGGAAAGTTTAAAAGGCGAGCAATTGTTTTAGCAACCTACTTAATAGACATCAAATAATACATGAACACTTATTTAAATTCTATTTATAGTTACCTATCGCACTAGCCGACACGTTGGTGCGACTGTGTCGCGGGTGGGATTCCCATGCGGAACAATTCTTTGTGTGTTTCACAAATTATTGTAGGTATGTTTGTAAATGCACCCACGATACAGGAGAGGTCGAAAATCCTAGTGTGGTGTTTATAATCATAAGTATTAACAAAGGCTAACGTAAGTTTAATATCTGCCTACATTACAAAATATACTATTTAAAATAGGTGTATATACAATTTAGACGAGACGACCTAAAAAAGTCGCTAAGCTATTATCTAAAGAACAATCAAACTGTATTCAAAAGTTCACTATTTATGAAATGCTATCTATAACGTAAAAACTAAGATGAAGTTACGTCACGTTCGATGATTACGTCCGGATGAGATCCGACTGCGCAAAAACAAAGTGCAAATAGTTCCACTTCCGTATAAGAATGTGTTTGCCGTATTCACAGTTTGCGTGATCTCTTCGCTTCCTGGCAGTCTGATTCGATCGATCAAATCAGTGATCACATTTTCCCAGGATCATAACAATAGGCAAATTAGTACCAAATAAAATTGCATATTATGTAGGCACCTCAGAATTTAGCCTAATTAAAGACCAGCTCTAAAAAAAGGGAAGAGCTGGAGAAAGAACGGGGGCTTTTTAGTCAGTAAGAGTCTGACACTCCCTCCCGTCCGTCCCTAGGCAGGAGAAGTCATTTGATAAAATAAAAAGCTCTAAAAGGGAAACCAAAGACTTTTAGTTACTGCGACAAATGCGAGACGCGCCTCTTACCCTTGCCAACTTTGTTGTTGTAATTGTACTATTTTCGTATTATAAATAAATAAATAAAGAATCTAACTTTTTGCTTATGAAAATAAATACGTTCTTATAAAATCAACATCATTTATTCTATATTAGCTAAAATACACACTATTTCTAAGAGTACTAACATTTTTTTTATTTTCTCTTCTTTCTATCGGCGCGGCTGCCGCCCATGTCCTGAAGCTGCTGTTTAAGTTCAATGAGTTGATTGTCAGGAACATATCGGATCTCTTCGTGCGCAATTTCATGGTCATGCACACGCAATGTGCAGCCTTCAGGCAACAAGGCACGAGCTACACGCAACAGTGTACCCAGAGCCCATGCTGGGACATCAGTCACCTTAAATAAAAACCCTTATTTAATGTATGTTACTTTAATTAACTAATATGCAGTAAGAAGTTTTCATCCCCATCACATAAAAGATTGGCAGTCAACAACTGTGCGATTTACGCAAAACTTTCTGCCCCATCCGCACAGCAAAACTTTGGAATGATCTCTAGCCGCCGCTATTTCCGAATTGATACGACCTTCGAACCTTCAAGAGGACCACAGTATGGTAAAAAATAACCTGAATATGCCAAATTAGTCTGTAAGGTCTATATTTTCAATGAGTAAAAACACCCTGATCAAAATATGTTAATTTGACCTATTTTGAATATAAGATTCTAACTAATATCTAGGACAGATTTTTATTTGAATTCCACAAAAAAACATCCATCCTTTTTGGATCACTATAAATAAATTATACGAAATTAAACCTTGCCAACAATTTATTCTACAATAATGAATCCAATGCACCTGGATCAAATCAAATCAATCAAATCAAATTCTTTATTTCAAATAGACCAAAAAAAGGCACTTTTGAACGTCAAGCAAAAAAGATATCATAAGGTTTAACTTTATATGTGTCAGTCTGTCCGTCTGTCCTCTAGTGAAGCTATTTGCTCGTTCCAAAGTGTAGATTCCTATGGAGAAGAACGAGCAAGAAACTCCATTGTTACTCTTTTTCAATCACTTTTTACAATGCATTGTTACATAATTTAGATAGTTCCATTATGTGAGAACAGTGTAACATTAGTGTTTAACCAAAAGATCCGAAAAAGAAATGAACCTCAGGGACAGCAACTTTAGACAGTCTCGAGTTGACCAGTCCCAATAGGCGGCGTCCGTTCACGAACATGACACGTACACCAGCACCGCCCAACTCAACCATATTATAGGGAACCGAGCGGTCCAGTTATTCCCGTGCCACCGCCAATGAGACTCCTGAGTGAGCATGACAACTCCCAACTGACACAAGTACCAATATACTATAAGTCTAACTCAATTATAATAAGTTATAGGGCTCTCACATTTACAAAAATCCAATTTATCAACAATTAACAACATGGTAAATAATTTAATAATTGAGATCAAAATTCCTCTTAACCTTAACAATTTTTATCCTGTGCAGTCAAACCAGCCACCCTCCAAGCATTTTTATCTTCTATATAATCGTTTAGTTTGTAGCATGCTTTCCTACATAATACTTTCTTTATACATAATTTAAATTTACTTTCATTAAGATTTTGTATTTCAGTTGGGATTTTATTATAACATTTAACACATAATCCCATGAACGACTTATGCACTTTTGCTAATCTAAATAAAGGCTGACTTAATCTATTTCTATGTCTAGTAAGATAGTCATGTTCGTCAGATACTTTTACAAATAGCTGTAGGTTTTTCCTAACATACATAATGTTTTCATAAATATATTGACATGGTACAGTCATAATGTTGATCTCCTTAAACTTTTCTCTGAGAGATTCGCGACGACCTAAGTTATAGATAGCTCTGACGGCACGCTTTTGTAAGATAAAGATAGACTCAATGTCGGATGCCTGTCCCCACAACAGAATTCCATACGACATGATGCTGTGAAAGTAGCTAAAGTACACTAGTCGCGCCGTGCCTACGTCAGTTAGCTGACGGATCTTCCAGACAGCATAAGCTGCCGAGCTCAACCGCCCTGCTAGAGATCTAATGTGGGGCCCCCATTGCAGCTTGTCGTCTACAGTAATCCCCAAGAATGTAGTCTCCTTTACAAATTCAAGTTTCTGACCATTTAATAATATATCATCGCATACGTTACTTTTAACATTTGGCAAAATAAATCTAATGCATTTCGTCTTTTTATCATTAAGTACTAAATTGCTTTTTGTGAACCAATTATGAACTTTCATTAAGGCATTATTCACTTCGTCATAGTTATTTGATTGTCTATTTAATTTAAAAATCAAGGATGTGTCATCAGCGAATAATATCATATGCGGTTCACTTTGGAATAAATGGGGCAGATCATTGACATAAACCAAAAATAGGAATGGACCCAATATTGAGCCCTGCGGTACGCCCATAGATACGCTAGCACCCTGTGAGTTTACTCTGTTTACTTGTACTGTAAGTAGTCTTTCTAGAAGGTATGACTTTAATTTTAGGGATACCCCCCGAATGCCGTAGTGTTGCAGCTTCAGTAATAGTGTCTCGTGCTTAACACAGTCGAAAGCCTTCGAAAGATCGCAAAATATTCCGATGGCATCCTGTGCTTTTTCCCACGATTTGAAAACTTGTTTTATAAGCGATACTCCTGCGTCCGTAGTGCAACGTCCCTTAGTGAACCCGTATTGTTGGTCATGTAAAATAGAATTCGCGTTAAAGTGACGCAGTATTTGAGTAAGTATCAACTTTTCAAACACTTTGCTGAGCACTGGCAAAATAGAGACCGGCTTATAGTTATTGCGTTCTGTACTATCACCTGATTTAAGTAATGGAACTACTTTACTATGTTTCATTAAATCAGGGAAAACCCCTTGATCTACACTTTTATTAAAAATTAAAGTTAAGTAAGGCGCTATAGTCTCTATAAAAGACCTGCACACTCTAACAGACATTCCCCAGAGATCTTCAGTGGACTTTACTTTGATATCTTTAAACGCCTTTATTACTGCCTGGGGGTTTGTATGTTTAAACCTAAAGTCCGCAGGACATTCTTTGACGTTACTTCTGAGTAGCTCGACCGCAAGTGCTGGAGATGATTTCAAGGTTTCCGTAGTTTTGAGAGGAATATTTTTAAAGAAATTTTCGAATTCCTGGGCAACTGACGAATTTGTACTAGTATATCCCTTTTCGGTTTTTAAATTAAATTCTGTGTTATTAGATTTGTTTTTACCTGTTTCATTATTAATTATACTCCAGGTAGCTTTTATTTTATTTTCCGCGGTTCTGATTTTACTGCTAATATAGAGCGATTTAGCATGCTTACAAACTAATTTAAATATTTCAATATATATAATATTTCAATAGATCAATATTCAAATCAACAAAACCACTTACTAAAATATTAATGAGCAAAGCCATTTTAACTTTAAACTTTATTATCTCAAAAGTATTACTTTGAGTGTTGGGTCCTTTTTGCGTATCACATCCAAGAAATAAGTGTAACTTCTCCTTCTTAAAAGGCTGGCAAGGAGCTTGTGGCTCCTTGTGTCTTATTTTCATGGGTGGCACAAATCACTAACAAACAGATTATCTGTCTGCCTGTTTGCCTCCTCTTCCATAAAAACATATGCTGGTCCTCAATATATATATGGTTATGCAGTGTATATTTATATAAGTAATTACCTGTACATTCCTCTCATAGATGTTAAGATTATACTCTGCATCAACAGCAGTGCCACCCGGCTTAAATCTTTGTACTTTAATTTTCTGTGCAGGTGTTGCCCAGCTAAAAATGACAATCAAAATGAAATATTGTTTAATACTTTTATACACTTCATAAATAGTTTTATTTGAATATTATTCAAACTTAAATGAGATTAGAGAAGATGTAAAATTAATCAAATTTCTCAAAGATTACCATTCATCAACTTGAATTCCCATAACCTCCGCATATTTATGGAGTTGACTTTGATAGGCTTCTAACAGTGCAAAGTCATAGCCTTTTAACTGAAGGTTCAAGCAATCATAGACAGGCTCATCTGGTTCCATGCTCTAAAATACAAACAGTAACATCATTGATTCTCAAAAAAAAAATACAATTAAAGAAAAATGGCAGGGATTACTTGCATTTATAATACTGGCCAGACTGGCTGGCCACAAATGCATTGGTGATATTAATACTTTCAAATAGAGAAGTCTAATAATGACTTTTTGAATAGTTATTGATGAATTGATGGTCATAATTGGTGGTATTCGGTGGTCTTGGACCACAGGCACTGTATCATCACTTTATATAACATTTTCGGGGCGCATTAATGTGTAATTAATTTTCATCTTTAAATGATAGGAAACATGACATGACTGTACACTATTTTAGATGTTTATATACATACAAATACTATAGATTAATCTTACAATTAAATAATCGGGCTCATATAGATCGCTTTTAAATCTATGTTGATTCTGGACTACTGGCATGCTGAGTTTATGCATGGCCATGGGCTTCAAAGACTGCTGGAGTTTGATCTGAAATATTTTGTTGCTTCATTAGATATATAAAAAACTTCGCTGCTTTTTGAACTATCAATGCCATACTTACGACATTCATTATTTTTCGACAAAACATATTTGTTGTATATATAAAGTGAATAAAAATGTATATACTTATATATATATGAATGGAATAAGAGGTTAAGTTATGAGATGATTTTTCATATATTCTAAAACGTATGCTATTTTATATTTTTGACTGAAATCGTTATTATATTTTAGCTATATGGCCAAATATATTACTGAAATTCTTGTATTATAGCTTATATTTTCACTATTTTCAGGCAATTTTTTGGATATTTTGGCCTGCAAATGACAAATATGATAACTATCAGAATTTGACATTGACATTTGACGTTAGTTACAGATAATTATTGACATGACAGTTCGACCGGTCAGGAAGAATTTCTATATAGTTTATAGTCAAGAATATTATATAGAACACTGGATGTTGCCCCTAGAAGAAATTATTGAATCCGAGTTTATTCACCTTTCGTATGTTTTTTATCTCGCTCACACTTGAATAAAATGTTGCCATAATAAAATGACTTTTTACCTTGGTAACTGATCATAAATATATTACCAAAAGAGAGGCACACATATTTTATGTTTATTTCGAAATCCAAATATCAGCCTTAAAAATTTAAACAATTTAAAAGTTATTCATAGTTAATTCAGGCTATTTTAAAGTTGTTTTTTTATTAAAATTATTTTTAAGTTTACCCACTTTTAAACTTTTAACGTGGAGTTCAAAACTTGTAACACTGTTGGGGTAGTATTATCCAAAAATGGCTACTCTGTCAATTACTTTTCGACTACTCGAAGTGTTTGACTGAAGTATTTCGAGGATTTGTGAATTAATTTAAAGTGCCTTATTATGTATTGCGTAGTCAAAGATTGTACAAGTGTATGGAACCCAACATCAAATGTCATCTTTCACAGGTAAGTCCAGAAATACCATATTTTAAGTTATACATTATCGTTACGTATTTTATGCCAATATTTAAAAAATCTGTAAATATTTACGTTCGAAACGGTGTCACAAATATTTTTCTAGTAATCTTTGTCATCGTTTAGAAATTTATATGCGTAAATCGCATTTAATTATTAAAAAACAGGTACGTTTAGTCTTAAACGTCAAAATTATGTGTTTGTAAACAAAGAGCTAAAGAGTGACCATATTTTTTAAGTTAGGTAGATACTTTTTGATTTGTGGAATGGTTGAATTTTATGTAGGCCTCGTTGCTCTTATAATGAGACTAACGTATTATATCTGAGGGTAAAACAGAAAGGTCTTCAAATTTTAATAATTAAAAGAGTGTCAAAACTAAGTTTAGAGCTGTCCTGCTATTTTGGTCTAATTACAGTAAATTAAATCAGTCAACTCGGTTAATATACAATTAATTTTATGTTTCAGTTTTCTCAAGGACTCGGAAAAAAGGCAGAAATGGTTGTCTGCTATTAAAAGGGAAGTTTTATGAATCAGCAAAGATTTGTAGCTTACACTTTAAGCCGGAGAATTATGATCCATTAAGACCAAAAAGGCTTTTAAATAGTGCTGTTCTGGTTGATTCTGTACAATTATGCTCCTGTGGTAATAACGTTATGGTAAGCATTTTTACATTTCACAATGTGCTGCTTACCCATCCAACAAACATGTTGAGAATAATATTTCAAATTACAGGCATGTAAAACGCCATTCAAATGCTTGGTTTCACCTAATGCAATGATACCGACAGAAACTGATACTTGTTCCACAATGTCAGGAAAAGAACACAGCTATTGCGAAAAGGACATACACATCATACAAAATGAAAATATTGTAAGTATTTAACTTATTGTCTAGTATTAAGGTATGTTTTTATCCTTTTCAAAATTTGCTGCTTACATACCTAGCAATCATGTTAACAATAATATTTCAAATTACAGGAAAGTACAACGCCATTCAAGTGCTCGGCTTCATCAAATGAAACAATACCAACGCACAACACACACACTGAAAATATTGTAAGTATTTAATTTATTGTGTAGTATTAGCTTGTACTTATGGCATAGAAGTCAAACCAAACCTTCAACATCCAGGTTAGGTGTTTTTTGGTTTTTTCACGATGTAGTAAGCTCATGATAGACATTGAGACCTTTTGATCATCTTAGTTGTTACTGATTATAATCTTTGTTCCACAGGTAGTTAATGAAATGAACCGCCAGCGAAACGACGCCGCTTAAAAGATTTTAATGTTCAATGTAAAATTAAATTCACTGCGGGAAAAGTGTTTGGAAAAAAAGAAAAAAAATTACAACAAAAAGTTGCGCGAAATGAACAAAAAATAAAAGATTTGAAGTCGTTAGTAAACATTGTTCGTTTTTTTTGTAAAATTTTATGAACTCATACATAGTTCATAAAATTTTACAAAAAAAAATTCGTGACTTTTGTCATCAATTATTAACTACCGAAAATGAAAAAAAAAAAATGATCATGATTATTTGTTAATATTAATAGACATTCTGCGTTTACGACCTTTGTAAATAGAGGTAAATTATGTTTCGCATCTGATGCAGCGTTCAAGGTAGTCCGCTACTCAGATAGTTTGTTTAAGCACTCGGTATCCAAAGGTATACTGCTTCACAGCAAAACTAATAATTTGCAATCAAAATTAGTGTTAGCGGTCCTGGAAAAATGTTATCCATTGTTGCAGGAATTATTTGTGCCTAAACATCCAATCACTGATACTTGTATGGATTTACACGAAACTTTTTATTTTTTTATGTAATCGGTCGGCAAACGAGCAGACGGATTACCTGATGGTAAGCAATCAGCGCCGCCCATGGACAACCGCACCGGAGGAGTTACGAGTGCGTTGCCGACCTTTTAGGGATTTGGGATTTGAAGATTTAGGGATTGAGGAGGGGTTGAGCGAGGGGAAGGATTGGGCCTCCGGTAACCTCACTCACACGGCGAAACACAACGGTGTTGGTTGTTTCACGCTGGTTTTCTGCGAGGCCGTGGTATCACTCCGGTCGAGCCGACCCATTCGTGCCGAAGCATGGCTCTCCCACACTTAAAAATAATAAAATATGTTTCGAAACTGAAATAATAAAATATATTTCGAATAGTTTTTTAAAATAAGAATTCATTCTTATCTGAAAACTTATACTCAAAGGCTTTTTGGGTGAGATTCGCACTAAAAGGCAAAAATTGCATAAAACTGTTTTATTTTCACACGTGTGATATAAACTTGTGATTTTTATTAATAAAAATGATTTTGCACTGTACTGGACTTTTTTAAATATCCCCGGTACGGTCTGACGGCAACCTACCAACTATTCACCATCCGCTAGCCCGCGCCTATGGTGGCTGAAAAAACGAGATCGGGATCCTATCGTCAACACACATGATCTTACATTCGCCCTCTGTCAATATGTATAGACATTTGTTATTACCTATTTAAATAAAAAGGACTTGATACTAGACTTTAAAACGAGGACTTGTAACTGTTTAAGGAAATTTATTGAATGGTTGATATCGTGTGAGAAGTGATATGGAAGACAGAGGAGTTAGCGATAGCGTGACGAGTGACAGGACAGAATGGAAGAAAAAAAACGCATTGCGCCGACCCCAAATAAAACGGGACAAGGGCAGGAAGATGATGATGGGTTGATATCGTGGACTGGTAAGGACTTATAAAATCAAATAGGTATTGGCTTTTAGCTGCAAGTAATTTTTAAGCTTAAATGGAACTTATCAGCTTGACTTGTTTTCAAGGGGTGTTTTTGAAAGAATACCTATCATTATAATTCTTATTGTTTACATACGTAGTATATCTTTTTAATTTGTGTTGCTTACCTGACAATTTTAATATCTTTTCATTTGTATCAAGTTTAATATCTAAAGAAATGATATCTAGATATAGCAGTATTACTGTTAAGTGTTAACAGTTGTGTGTATACGTAAGTACTCTTAAGGGTGTATTAAGATAACATGCGCTGCACACGCACAGCATCCGCGCACGCTTTGTGCTCGCCTTAGACCTAAAACATACACAAGCGACGTAACGCGAAGGCACGGGGCCGGCGCAGCGCAGGCGTTGGACAATTCACAAACATGCGGTAAAAACTCATTAAAACATCTGTTATTCCAAAATCAAAATCGATCTTCGGGGCACCAACCGTTGTTTCCTTATCAGCACAAGAACATAGTTCAAAGCAAAAACCAACAGTTTCTAACATTTAAAAAACGTTTCTGGCCATGAAATGTTGACAAATATTTTTTTATAATTTTTATGTAATGCCAATAAACATCCTAAGGTACCCTCAACGCATACGGTATGTTGGTGGCATGACGTAGTTTTCTCCATCAACGCAAATGGTGTGTTGGTAGCAACGAATGGGATAAGGAATACATACGACAGACAGACAAACATTTTAGCCATTGTATTTTTAGCATCAGTATCGAGTTATCGACTACCAACCCCTGATAGTTATTTTGAAAATATATTTAATGTACAGAATTGACTTCTCTACAGATTTACAATTATATGTATGTATAGATTACTAAACCAAAACTAATACGATCGAAAACACACTAAAATAGAAATGTTGAATTTAAACAATCATAAATATGTACAAAATATCCTAAAGCTAGTAAAAATAGTTGTCACCCTGATGAAAGAGATGCAAAACATAAATGACGTGTTTCAAGGTCATTTTATTAGTCCTCAGTTCTTTTTTCTTGGTGCAACATCCAGTGTACTTTATAATATTCTTGTTTATAGTCGACGACATTTTTTTTATTTTTTTTATTTTTTGGAGTTTATGGCCTGGATACGAGTCCTTTAAGCCAAGTCTTTTAATTGTCGACGACATTAAATTGGAGACTCTGTTGCCATTCAAGAAAGAAAAAATATAAGTTCACTATATACTATCTCTATATAAGATCCTGCCTGTCAGATACTGGGCCATTCATCGGGGAATTAAATATATACTTTTCTATAGTTTATGGGCCAATACATGATAGTTGCTGAGAGTACTCGTTAAAGTTGCCCATACACAATCCTGCAAAGTAGGTTTCAAATACACCAAAGACCAAGACAATTTTAAATTCAACCATAAAGCAAAAATTATCTTGTAAATAATATCTAGTATTTTTTTTGTATTATCTTCATTTTGTGTATCATTTGTGTCAAGACGTTAAATTTTAACTGGTTCTACTGATTGACTAATACATTTCATTATTGCTAAAACAACTGTTTATAGAAAATGGAAACTCAAGTAAATGGCGAAAACTCAATGAAACTGGCAGTTAAAAATATCCACATGACATGATTCATGATTAAAAAAAAAACTTTAAATGTCAAAAAATTGTCTATGTTTTGCTTTACCTTCGTGCGTGAAGACATCAATGAAATGGAAAGAACGGTAAAGAAAATTGTAAATTAGGTGTTCTGTATTTACGATATTTTAGTAGTGAATAACTTAATGGTGAATCGTTTATGGTCTTATACCTTTTGAAGCAATTTCTCTGAAGAAATGGCGTCAACAGGCAGTACACCTTTTCCGAAATGGCAACTTGCAATACTTCTTGGCGCACCTCTTGCCATTGGTTTAGGTTACCTTTATCTCAGAAACAGATTGGAGGATCCAGAAAAGAAAAAAGTGTCGGAATTAAAAGCCAAAACTACAATTTCATTGGATAATGAAGAAAACAACGCAAAGGCCTCTGAGAGCGCTATCGACCGCGCCATGAAACTGAAAGGTGCCGGAAACCGGGCTTTCCATGCTGGGGAATATGATAAAGCTATAGCTTTGTACAACGAAGCCATTGAAGCATGCCCCCCTGACCGTCCGGTTGACCTTGCAACCTTTTACCAAAATCGGTCTGCATGCTACGAAAAGCGCGAGATGTGGGAGCAAGTCAAGGAAGACTGTACATTTGCTCTAAAGCTTAATGAAAAATATGTTAAAGCTTTCTTGAGGCGTTCTCGTGCTGCTGAAAAGAGTGGCGATCTTGTTCTAGCTCTTGAAGATGTTACTTCAGCCTGCATCCTTGAGAAGTTCCAAGTACAAAGTTCTCTGGTTAACGCTGATAGAATCCTGAAAGCTTTGGGTCGGCAACATGCTCGCGAAGCACTGGCTAAACGTCGCCCTGTTATGCCATCTAAACATTTCATTAAAACTTATTTCTCTGCGTTCTCTGAGGATCCTATTACAAAAATACAACTTGATGATAAAACTGTTGGAGGATTTGCAAGAGCAAAGCAAGCACTGGTTGCTCAAGATTATGATTCCATTGTAGATGCATGCACTGAAGAAATCAAAGATCCTAATGGGAAATACAAAAATGAAGCCCTGTTGTTGCGATCAACCTTCTATTTACTATTAGGAAGACATGATGAAGCACAGGCAGATCTTGCTAAGGTTATTGACAGTGATGCTTCAACCAAGGTTAAGGTAAATGCATTAATCAAGCGTGCTTCATTATTTACTCAACTGGAAAATACTGAGCGCTGCCTTGAGGACTTTGCTAAGGCTGCACAGCTGGATCCTAATAATTCAGATATTTACCACCATCGTGGACAAGTGTATTTGCTTCTGGAGCGTATGGATGAAGCTACAGCTGAATTTGCAAAGGCTGTTGAGTTGAACCCTGACTTTTCCATTGCTTACATACAGAAGTGCTATGCTGATTACAGACATGCACAAATCAACAAGAATGTTGGTGCTTTGACACAAGTACGTGCTGACTTTGAAAGGGCCTTGGAAAAGTTCCCTCGGTGCTCTGAAGCATATATCCTGTTTGCTCAAGTGTTGTCAGATCAGCAAGAGTGGGGCCGTGCAGAGGCACTGTTTGATGCTGCACTCTCAGTAGACCCCAACAATGCCACTTTGTATGTACACAAAGGTTTGGTGCAGCTGCAGAAGAGCACAGATTTTGATAAGGCTGTTAAATTGATTAACAAAGCTATTGAGATGGATGACAAATGTGATTTTGCATATGAGACACTTGGTACAATTGAAGTACAGAGGTAAGTTAAATCATAATTACAAACCTATCTATTTTATCTAATAAGTTTACAATATAATTATTTTAGTTTTCATAAATGACAATAAATATTGAACACTGTGATTCATTCCGTGCAAAAATAATATATCTACTATTTCTCAACTATTGACATGCCTTACTGATTTATTATCTGCTGTTATCACTGAGCTGGTTTATCATTAGTGGCTGTAAATATTTAAAGTGATAAGAAGTAGTAGATTACATTGTCTAGAAAAAAGAAGTTGTTACGTAAGATACAACAATCCTGCAGATGTTTTGTTCCATTCAACTACTAGACTTAGACCTTTCTTATCAATGTTGTCTATAGTTTTAATAATAATTATGGACCACATGTTAGAGAGCACAGCATTTTAATGTTATATTTATATTGCATGTATGAAATTTAAAAATCATTAAATTACAAATTTATTGTTTGCATTTACAAATCTATGTCCTAAATTCTCATGAAATTCCATTTTTTTTAAAGAGTAACAGATCTCAGTTCATACATCCACACTTAAAAACTTTCATGTTAATAATACTATTAGGATGTAACTATTTTTCACCGATTTATAAATCAATTCGCCATTTAGATTAGTTGTTTTAGTTTGTAAGTATTTGTGTAGATTTTTTCAAATTATTATTTTTATTCTTTTCTTACAGAGGAAACCTGAGACGATCCTTAGAATCATTTGAAAAGGCTATATCATTAGCCAAAACTGAACTAGAGATGACACATTTGTTCTCTCTAAAGGATGCTGCAGCAGCACAACTGAAGGTGTCTGAGCGCTGGGGATTGGACTGGACTGTAAGCTAGACTTGTGCCACATAGCTTGCCTCATACTCAACGAGAATAAAACCTGGCCGTCCATGATTTGCCAGAGAGCTCAGTATAATGTTATAAATTATTCTCTCTGTATGTATCCAATTATCTCTTTTTGTCCTTGTATAAAAAATGTTATTTGTTGAAGCTTTAAGAAGAGTGCTTGAGATACTATTATTTCAACGTGTCATATCACTTCTTAGATGTTATCAAAGAATTGTGCCAGATGGTATTCTCGTTGTGGACTACTGGTACCTAGCCGCCGCGGACTCGCATCGCATCGATAGTTAAGTTTGGTGTTAATATTCTAGCAAGCTTTTAATGGGGCTTTTAATTCCCAAACTATTGTACTAATAACATGCACCCAATACAGTTGTAAAAATGACAGTTTCTAGAAACTTGTTTCTTGGTCAGTAGCTAATAAAATTATAACTATTTTACAGTGATTTAAATGTATCACAAAAGTTTAAAATAGCTCACACATGTAGTTATACTTTTGTAAATACTTATTAAACTCTATCAAAACTGCCGTTGCAATGTAGATATATATTGATTTATTGGCATTTATTAGAAATTTGTAATTCAAAATGTCAAGTAAAAATTATGTAAGTTGTTTGCCTGCTTCATATTGAAGTGGTGAACTAATTGTTTCTCGCGAAAACCTTTAGTCTGATTACACCTACATTTCTGCATTTAAAATGAACAAAATATGTACAACTAAATTGTTATGTAACTTAATGTTATGTTGGTTTTATTAATGAGAAAAAGAATAAAATCCTGTCATTTAATTGTAATCATATTGTTAGTATAATACATCTAGAAGTGAATTATTACTGTTGAGACTGAGCGGGTAAAGTAGGTCATGTTTTTTTTTAATAAGTTTTGTAAACTTAACCTCTTTACATTGTGATATATTATTGTTTTTTTATTTGCATTTATAGCCACTGGTATGGATTGTACATTGAGTTTTAAATTTAATATAATACCTGTAGCATTTTTTTAAACATGTACGAAATATCGCTCAGTCGCTCCATTATAAAATGAATAAAATTTTAATGTTTGAACATTGTCTTAGTTAACTTTACTTGGTAGATTTTCTGGAACTCGCGCGGTGTGAGTTGATTGCATATGCATAATAATAATGCACACATACTAGAAAATGTACGAGATTGTTCATTTGATTCTATTGTTGTTCCAAAAGGAAAAGGTAATATGAAGTATTGAGTTGCCTGAAATGGTATCAATTTATTTTGGGTCCAAAGAATGATTCTGAGTTTGAAACACTATAAATCGTAAAAATGTATACTAAAGATGTGGTTTACCTATAAGTGTGTTGGAAGTGCGCCCTGAGTTTGCGGCGGTGATTGCGTGCTGGGTGCGTTCAATACATTTGATTTTATTCCCAATGAAACACACCAACAAGTTCTTAGGTATCTTACTTGACACCTAAAACGTACATTATGTTATCAAAATACAAGAATTAAAATTAGCAAGAAATGGTTTTTGGTAACTATTTTTGACAAAGCGTTTCCATGGATTTGTGGTCACCACGCGTTTCGCTTTATAATTATATGACAAGTGTGAACTCGACCGCCTAGTAATAACTGTTTCCATAGGAAACAGATGATGGTTTGGATGCACCCTTAAATTTTCAGTTAGAATGTGAATTTAGAATTGTAGCTAGCTGAGATGGTTCTACAAGAGTTGTTACCTCACCGATAGTGGATAGTTATCAATTTATGGAAACTACGAAATACATTATTGAAAATTAATCACATAGTTTTACTTAAAATTGCATTGTCAGATCACTGCTACCCAGCTGCGGCCTAAAAATACCGAACTACTTAGCATGAGTCAGAATCTTGCATCAATATCGAAATAGATCGGCTTCAATGCGCCCTGTATACGATAGATTTCATTGGTCATCTTCTCTGCCTTGGTCACATCGGGCCGATTAAATTGAATAAATAGGTACCTAGTTTTCGGTTACCGACAATCGAAACCGTATTATTATGGTATCTTTCATAAAGTCGCTGAAGCTTGGCAATATTTGTTTGTGCTTATGATTAATATTTTAATGAATAGAATTTTAACTTGTTTCAATTAAGAGAGAAGAAACGATGTTATGCTTACTCCAATTGCCGCCGCGCCTTGCTGCTCTGCGCTCCACCCCGCGTCATGCCACGCTTCCGCTTTTGTTGACCTCTTCTTTTATTTTTCTTCTGTGGGTAGGTACAGCAATAATTATACCTCATATGTCATTAAGCACCAGTCAACATCCATTACGAGCGATAGCGAGTACAGTTTCGATCAGCACTGAACACGCGCGTTTTAAGAGGCAAACCGCGCTTGGTAACCCCTCACGGCAGTAGAGTGCTCCAGGCCTTTGGGTATCCTACGGCACAAAGGAAATCATTTAAAATAAGTGTGAGACACTCTATCATTAATAACTATGCAGCATAGTAAATGTGCCATTAAACTATTTTCAAGGCACGTAGGTAATTATAGTTTTTAACTACCTATCGTATTATAAACTTCCTAAATGCTAATGCGTTAAATAGGAACCTACCTACACTTCAAGATCTAGTTGGTCATTCTTGGTTTATGTCACAACCCATGTTAATAAATGTTGTTATTTGTAATTTTGAATTTCATTGTTATTATTGATAATTCCTATCCATTACTGTGTTATAACGGAACATTTACATCCAGACGTTACGGAAATGATCCTGTGTCGTACAGAGGACTGTTTGGCCCCAGTCGGACAGATATTGCAAGAACACGGTGTATACTAACGATACAATGCAATACTCGTTCAGGTTACACATTGATTCTCTTTTTTCATGAAGAAGTGTAGCACAGCTGGTCTCTCAGCATGAAGCAAAATTAACACCGATTTTACTTTCATGTCTCTGAGCTAGGTACTCAGCCACACCGCCAACCAAAATTTTTATCAAATTTTCAAATTATGTTTTTTTTTATGAGATAGTTCGGCAAACCTGCAAACCTAGGTAATACCAGAGGAGTTACGAGTGTGCTGCCGACATTTTTGAGATTAGGATTCCGGAGATTTTGGGTTTGAGGGTGGGAAATGATTGGGCCTCTGGCATAGAGAAATTAACCAGATTTTTCTCTATGGCCTCCGGTAACCCCACTCACGCGGCGTAACATAACGCTGTAGTGTAGTTGTATCACGCCGGTGTTCTGTGAGGCCGAGGTATCACTCCGGTCGATTCGAGGCTTAGGTAGCTCTAAGCTTACTTAGGTACCTATATTTATATTATACTTACATTGTAAGAGTGTTTCGACACCCCCAACTATAAGATTAGATAAGTTTGAAGCCGTCAATCCTCCTTGAGCAAACGTGGTGATTAATGCTCAAATCTTCTCCGTCTGTCTTTCCACTACTGTGAGGTCGTTGTTCAACAGTGTACACTTATAGGCTGATGGTGAGGATAACAAGTCGCGAGCCAATGGATATAAGTGCCGAGTTGTCGATCGCGGCTTTATTTAGAACCCATATCAGTCTCTGACTGACTAAAATTATCCCGTTCTTTCTCCTGAACCGATCCGGGCCGCGGTACCTACCTACGCATTATTGCGCTTACACCGGCAACCCTTACCGGACATCGACCCAAGAAGACCCCATCTGTGGTGGTCTGATGCGAAAGGTCGCCGCTACCCTACCGAGTTATTCGACGTGACGGGAGAAATAAGGGGAAGCCCCAGTGCCGGATTGAGCCAGCGCGGGGCCTGTAGCAAATTCTGTCAAGGGGCCCTTGGTTTGCTAACGGTTCTCAAAAGGGTATTAAATAAAACAAAACTGTTACAAAACTTTTCTAGATTTATTATGGTGAAATTTCGCGATTAAACTTTCAATATCGACTTCTTTAAGCAAGTCATGCTTTATATTCAACAACGTGAGATGATTAAGACGTTCTTGGCCCATACTGTTCCTTGATTCATTTTTAATTCGTTTCAACGTTGAAAAATAACGTTCGCCACTGCAGTTTGTGATCACGAAACATAAGTAAATACGCAAGGCAATTTCTAAATTCGGGAAACACGATTCTAAAGAATTATTTAATAAAAGTTTATAAAATTGCAGTTCCAGAGGCTCCTGTTTCTTGCTGTCAATTACAGTAGCCACATCTGTTTTCAGCAGCTCTGCGAACTGCACTAATTCGCCGTTCTCCAAATCATCTTCGTAAGCACTGAACATCTTTGACGATTTTTTGTTGTTGAGTTGTCCAGGTGTTTGATTTTCAACATAGTCGTCGAGTGTAGGTATTAGAGCCGCTGAAATGGTCGTTCTTTGTATTTCGCTTAAGTCGTCGTGATGTCTGTTGCTGGTATTCTTCACAGTTAGTCAAATCTTTGGCTCTTGCCTCTTATATCTGAAAATGTGGGTCGCATTGCTTGGACGTAGCCATATAATGTTTCATAAAGGGCGTATCCCGTATTAAGGTCTTGATCAGACGATTGTGAAATAAATAATGTTTAACAAAAATATTCCGACTACAAAAAGTAAGCTTAAAAGCAAAAAATATGTTTTCTTTGTAGAAATTAATACATGTTTTCTCTTAGTTAAATAGAAAAGACTATTAATGACCATATTATAATTTTGAATTCGGTGCCAAGCAAAACAAAAATAGTGTAATCTTTACCTATATACGAGTAGCTTTTGTTAGTTTGATGACTAGGAGGTACCGATCAATATTTTTCTAATACTGTTGCTATGTTTTTATAATACGAAACTAGTAGAGCTTTTCTCAACATTTACACGTGAGTAACCCGCGAATTTTAGTTAATTTAATACTGTTGCTGTTTGGTATGACCTTGATGATTCACTTGGCAGAGCAAGCAAGGATAATGGTTTTCGAATGAGAAGACGACGACTACTTGAGACCGAAAATCACGATAATAGTAGTAGTCCTGAGTTAGTCAGTGTTCAGTGCTGTAAATCGCTGAGGAATTCCCTCGACTGTCAATGTTCTCCATCATCATTTATACTGCAGACCTTCAATATACTTACGTAATCTGTATAGGTGCAAAGTTCTCATCAATATAAATTAATTAAATCCAAGCACAACATAATTACTCGAAATAGTCAAAGAGATCTTACGATAGTCTTCCTGCTCCATCATCAGATTTACTCCATAACTTCATTGTACTTAACCTATATAGGTGCGAAGTTTTCATCGATATAAATGAATTAAGTCCAAACACGAAAAAGTTACTGTGAATCGTTCAGGAGTTCCCTAAGCTGTCCTTCTTTCTCATCATCAGACCCCTAATGACAGTCACGGTGCACCAATCTTAGTGCAAAATGCTCACCAATACGAATCATTCAAGCCCAAACACAAGGTAACTACTTCAAATAATCAAGGAGATCCTTCAACTGTCTTCCGGCTCC